CTAAAAAGAGGTATAGAGAGGAGGGTAGGGGTAAGAGGGAAAGTAAAAGTAGCGATAGCTTCCTATAAAGGTAGTAAGAGATAAGACGGATATACCTATAACGGCTAGAAAGAAGGGGAAAAAACCAGTAAAAAGCTCGGTAGTTAAAAGGATATTAGTAGCTTCTTTAAGTAGGATCTTCTTTATTAATTAAGATGCTAGATAGGTATAAAGAGGGGCGTTAGATAGAGGAAAGAAGAATAATTAAGGAAATATAATAACTACTCCCTTACTATTATTACTGCTCCCGTAAGAATTAAATCTCTCTGCCCTACCTATCTAACCCCTTACTTTTAATTTTACCTTCGAGCATTTTTATATACTTTTTATATCTCTCTTCGCGAGAAGTTTATTAAGACCTATTCTAAAGGATTTATATCCCTAGGAACTACTTTATCTCCCCTAGCTTAGTTATATTATACCTTTATTATAGGCCTTATATAGCCTTCTTAGTAGTTACTTTTTCCTCTTTTAAGTAGGACTAGATAATATTATCGACGTAGAAGAAGACTATAATTTTACCGTTCTATATTATATACGGTTCCTAAGGGACCTTCTTTAAGCCTAGGGCTTTAAGGGAACCTATTAAATACTATTACTTTATCTATACGGTTAATTCCTAAGTAATAAGGTATTCCCTTTATACTTTCTTAAAAGACTAGAAATATAAGAGGGTATTATAGATATTAAGGTAAGTACTAGAGTTAAGGATAGCTAATTTTTATAGGGGATAATTAAAGGGCTCTAATAGTTAGTCTTAGCCTTATTAATTTATAGGGAAGATAAAGGCCGGATTTACTATACTAACGATTTTTCCTTAAATTTATAGCTTAAATAAAGGTAGTAGCGTCGTTAGTTACTATTTCTTAGTAACCTAAATCTCGTCTACCTTCTTCTATAATAAGGGGTCCTCCTTAAGAGACTTTTTAATAACGTCTTTTAGTTTTTTAAGAGGCGTAATTTTAAAAGGTCGACTTTCTTTAAAGACCTACTAGTAGTTTTCTAGCTTATAGGGCCTTTTATATACTTAGTAGGTAGGTCGATTCCTCCTTATTTATTGTCTCTTTAAGGATTCCTCGTCCCTTTTTAGAAGGTCTACTTAAGAACCCCCCCTTTTTATACCTTATTACTAATTTTAACGAGGTTCGATTTCGACTAGTTCCTTGATTTTTCGACTAATAGACTAAAAGGTCTATTAAGGGACTAGTTAGGCCGGACGGACTAACGGGGCCGGGCCCGGAGTAGTAGGCGGAGCCGGGGCTAGGACAAAGGTAGCCGTTAAAGATAGGGTTAAGGCTCTTAAGGGAGGAGGAGCTAAAGGGGCAGTAGCTATAGTAGTAGTAGCGGGGGCCGTAGTAGTAGCAGCGGGGGCTATAGTAAGAGGGGCTATAGTAGCTATAGGGGCAGTAGGTCGAGCTATCTAGGTTAAGTGCTAGCTATAAAGAAATAAGATAACTTATTATTATACTTTAATAGCTTCTTTATTTAGTTCCTAGCTTATATCTTAAAAGATAGTTAAGTAACTATTACTAATAGGCTTTATTAATAGAGATATATCCTATAGCTACTAGCTAGAAAGAGCTTTTATTAAGAAGTATTAGTTAGCTTCCTTAAGGATTTCTTTTTACTTAGCTAGTTATAAAGAGGCTAGTAGGTTCCTAGTAAAAAAGGCTCCTAAGTATACTATATAGGTCTTCCTAATACTATTAGTTATATAGCCCCTCGAGGGAGCTATTAAGGTCTCGAGCTTTAAAAGCTACTACTTAGGAGTCTCTTCCTCTTAAAGAGAGATTAGCTTTATAGTACTAATAGATTCTATTTTCGCCGTACGTATAGTAGTTAGTATCTTTATCTTATAAAGGTATTCCTTATAATAACTCTTATAGTTACCTAAGGTAGTAGAAAAGGCTCTCTACTATATAGAGGTTAGCTTAAGGAATAGGGAAGCTCCCTTTATAAATTCCGTTGCCCTAAGATAAAGAGGGGGCTTAATAGGGTCTTACTTATTATAGAAGACTAAATTATAAATAGTTCTATTTATACGAGCCTATAGCCCCTTTATCTACTTATCTTAATCTTAAGGCTCTATAAGAATCGTCTTATAGACTATAGGAGCGATAGAGTTATTTTTCGATATTATTATAAGGGAAGGGTAGAAAGGTTAGTTAAAAATCGGCTTTTTTAGTAAGAAGGGTAAAAGAAAGTTATAAGAGATATAAGAATAGTGCCTTTTATAGTAGCTAGAAGGTATAGGAATTCTATTCCTTCTAGGCTTATAACTCTTATAAAGAGAGATATAAAAAGTATAAATAAAATATATAGAGGTAAAATTAAAAGTAAGGGGTTAGATAGCTATAGTAGAGATATTTAATTTATATAAGGGTAGTAATTATAGTAAGGAAGTAATTATTATATTTCCTTAATTATCCTTCTTCCTTTTATTTAACGCCCTTATTTATACCTATTTAGTATTTTAATTAATAAAGAAGATCCTACTTAAAGAAGCTATTAATATCCTCTTAACTACTAATCTTTTTACTAGTTTTTTCCCTTCTATTCTAGCTATTACTAGTATATCTATCTTATCTCTTACTACCTTTATAGGAAGCTATTACTACTTTTACATCCCTTTTTACCCTTACCTTCCTTTCTATACTTTCTTTTAGCTCCTTCTTTTAAACCTATTTTTTTTAGCTTCCTTAGTCCCTCTTACTATAGTATATCTCTAAGAACTACGAAATTAAGCTACGCTTTATAATAAGAAGTAGCTATAGGTAGAGAGCGGATAGTAATATAATTACTATTTATTTAATTTAGTGCCCTTAGGATAATACTAGGTGCTCTATCTACTATTTAATACTAAAGTTTATTATTATAGATAGTTATATCTCTCTTTCTACCTATTTCTTTTAGTTCTCTTTAATAATACTATTTAAAAGTATTATTAGTATTACTAAAATTACTAAATAAAGTCTATACTAACTTTTAAATTATTATTTTACCTAACTAGTTATAAAATATACTAGGAGTATAGATAATACTAAGAAAACTAAGCCGCTTACTACTATAAGCTATAGTATCCCTTAGTTTAACGTTAGCTACTTTAGTATAAGCTAGTTAAAGCGCTAGTTAAAATAACTAAAACTCTTATAAAGAGAGATATAAGAAGTATATAAAAATATATAAAGGTAAAATTAAAGGTAAGAGGTTAAATAGGTAGGGCAAAGATATTTAATTCTTATAAGGGTAGTAATTATAATAAGGGAGTAATTATTATATTTCCTTAATTCTCTTTTATTCCTTTATCTAACGCCCCTTTTTATACTTATTTAGTATCTTAATTAATAAAGAAGATCTTACTTAAAGAAGCTATTAATATCCTTTTAACTACCGAGCTTTTTACTAGTTTTTCCCTTTTATTCTAGCTATTACTAGTATATCTATCTTATCTCTCGCTACCTTTATAAGAAGCTATAGCTACTTCTTCTTCCCTTCTTACCCTTACCTTCCTGTTTATACTTCCTTTTAGCTCCTTCTTTTAAACTAGTTTTTTAGCTTCCTAAGTCCCTCTTACTAAGGGATATCTTTAAGAATATAAATTAAGCTACGCTTTATAATATACCCTCTTAGCTATAGCCTATTATTAAGGGGCAGCGTATACTTAGTATAGTAGTATAAAGCCGAATAATTATTTATTTAAAGCTAAGGAGAAAGAAGGAAAACTTTATTTTAGTCGCGCTAATTATCTATCTTCCTTAGTCCCTAGCTTAACCTATATTTAAGTACTATTTAGCTTAAGTTTAGGTCGAGCTCTACTTATATATAGTTTTACTTTATCCTAACTTTAGTATAGTTACTATAGTATAACCTTAGCCCTTTAAAGGTATAGCCTATAATACTACCCTTACCTTCCCCTTCTTATTAATAGTACTCTTATTCCTCCCTTACTACCTTTTTATTATTACCTTCCCTTTTTTTTTAAGCGCGCGCGGTTACTTCTTTCCGCCTTACGCTCGCTTTATCCCTTTATATACCGCCTTTTTATATACTTATTCTACCTTATTCCTCCCTCTTCTATATATATACCTCTATACCTTACTAACTATATATATACCTTACTACGTATAAATACCCCTTTTCTTTCCCCTCTCCCTCTTACTTTCTTTTTCTTCTTTTAACCTTTACTTCTTTTACGCGCGCGCCCTTACTTTACTTAATTTCTATTACTATGCTACGCTATATTATAACTACTATAGGCCCTTATACGCCCGCTAGCTTCTCTACTTTATATAGTAGTACCCCGCCTCTTAGTATACTAAGCGACTATACTCTACCGCCCTTACGCTAGTTAAAGCGTCCGCCTATATCTCTTAGTAATTATAGCGCGACCTATAGTACTTGTTACGACCCGACCAACGGTTGGTCACAAGCAGCCCTCAACAAGGCCGACACGTGACGGAGGGGTACAGGATCCCGCGAAGTCACGTGATGGATCATTTGGATCACTTGGTGATCCCAACGATCCGGCTCATTGGATCATCTCGATGATCCAACGACGATGTACAGGATCATTGGATCGTCTCAATGATCCAACGATCCGTGAACAGGATCATCACGTTCGCTGAATGATCCACGAAGGACCACTGGGTATATAGGACACCCAATTCCACTCCTTTAGACTAGATAGCTCTTTAGCTTTCAACACAATCATTACGATCCCTATCACGATCTCATCTCTGATTCCGATCACTTGATTACCTGGTTACAGTCTACGGTCTACGACCTCCGACTCATCACCAACGTGACATACTTATCATTGCTCAGACCACGCCCTGTTGTATCTGCCAACATAAACCCCTCGACAGGTTTATCCCTTGGGAATATCACCGGTCGTCACACGTTGAAAGCTCTTGTTCAGAACGATACCGCGTCTCTCTGAGCAATATCGCATAACTGTCAACATGCCTGCACAGCAAACTGGATCAACCAACTCGGGACACCGTGTCGCCGCAGGACATGATGCGCGAAATCATCAGCCTTCGACAGGAGGTCCAAGTACTCAGGAACGGAGGAGGCAACGGACAAGTTAGGGACCTCGGAGAAGCAGTCAAACCAAAACAGCCAGGACCATTCGACGGTACTCATGGCACGCTTCGAGACTTTCTCACCCAACTCAAAGCCTACCACCGATTCTATCCGACCAAGCTCTCGGACCCAGTCGAAAAGGTACTCCACGCAGGAAATTGTTTATCTGGAACGGCACTCGCCTGGTTTGGACCCATCATGAGGACTTTCTCGACAACCAACCAGCGCGACGAGACAACGAGACAGACGAAGTCTTTGCCAGTTTCCAAGGATTCGAAGAAGCCATTACGAAGGTATTCGGAACAACCGACGAGGAACGAGAGGCCGAACAGAAACTTCGAGAACTCCGACAAAGGATCTCAGCATCGGATTATGCTGCGAAGTTCCGTCAAGTCACCTCAAAGCTTGATTGGGACGACGAACCTCTTATGTCACGATTCTACGACGGGCTTAAAGAAGAAGTCAAGGACGAGCTCTACAAGGAAAATCGACCTGACAACCTCTCGGACTACATTGCTATGGCAGTACGAATCGACGACAGACAGTATGCGCGACGCCAAGAAAGAAACAAGGAAGAGGAAACTGGAACCCTTCCTATGGGAACAACTTTAACCGACGCGCCAACTACAAGAAGAAGCGCGAAACTCCCATTGCTTACGCCCACACAACTAACCCAGGCAAAATGGACCTGGATGCAACAAAGAAGGGCGAAGGAAAATGCTTCAACTGCGGGAAAGTTGGACATTTCTCACGAAATTGCAAGCAACCTCGCAAGGAGAAGAAAGTTCACTGGGCCCCAGCCCCAGAAGGTAAGAGACACCTGAACGCTACTAACAAGCAGGAACCAAAGCATGAACTCCTTAGTTGGACTGCATGCTACGACGACAAATGCACGGTACACCTAAGCGACAAAACGGTACCGGATGGTTCCAAAGCCACCAAAGAAAACCCTTGCAATGGTGCAACGAAGAGATCCCACAACACAGAAACAAGTCAAATTCGCAGAACCAGAATACCCCTATCCTGAAGGAGTCTCACAAGACTGGATCAGGAAGAACGGCAAACGATTCCAGGAAGACATGCGAAATAAGGATCGACAACAACGACGGGCAGTCTATAAACAACATAACAAAGAAGATACGGACGCAGCCCTTATGCTCACGAAACTCGGACAACAACCCGAAGAGGAACAACGAAGTTTCGACGACACAAGCTCTGAAGAACAAGACACGCTACAAGAAACAGAAGACGAGGATGAACTCGCACCACCACCCTCACTACTAAGGGAAACGCCACGATTGGAGAACACGCTCCATACTTCGAAGAATTCGAAGAAATGCTCAAAATTGGAACTCAACAAATACCTCAAATTCTCACGGAAAACCAACAAGCTGCATTGATTCGATACCAACCGGCACCACGCGGAGGAGACTACGCTGTGGCTATCGCCGCGGTCGACACCTTTACAGCCCTACAACGAGAATGGCAACCACGAGGAGAATTTTCAGATGACCCAAGAACAGTGCTCAGTCACGAAGAGCACAAACATATTTCATGGATCTCATGCGTCTATTTGGACTGCATGATACACTTCCAGATGAAGGCACGACACGACGCCTTCCCAGTCAGATTCGACGGACAAATACTTTCGAAACCCTACCTAAGCACGGAACTGGACTACTGGAAAATCGATCAACGTTACCCGAACGACCAAGTCATGTTATTGGAACCCGATTACGGCACGCCACTTGAATGCCGCGATGATTACGGTTCTTTAACGAGATGTCTTTCGGAAACATGCAAAATCCACAAACACGCCAAAATTGGGGAATGGCACAACGCCACTCGCTCTAAGGCATCCGAACCATCTATCTTCACAAGACTCGCGCAACGAATCAGATGCGACGAAGAAGATTACAACGAATGTGCACCCGAACTGCAAAGTTCACGAACACGAAAAGGCACGAGCATGGCACAAACGACACAACGGTGCACCAAAGGACTACTGGCGACACCTACGAAGGCTACAAGCTACATTCGACCAAGGAAAAATTAACGCAGAAGAACTACGCGCAAAACAGAAAGACGCAGAACGAAAACTCGATTCCTGGTACGAAAACGAACAGAATTGCGAAGCACGGTACGCAATCAACTGCGAAGCAGCACAATGCAAACAACACAGCGTTGAGAAACAAGAAATCTTCGATTGGCTACAAGAAATCAGTCTCTTGAGCCCCGACACGACACCACGCGACGAAAACATAAAGAAACGATATCAACAACAAATCGAAGAAGAATACCCAAATGAAACGAATAAGGACCAGGCAAAACGAGGTACGCCATCTGTAAAAGGGCTACAGACTGGCACGACACGACAAGATCCAAGGACCCTATGCATGGCAACGGCAAGCCATGGCAACCAAATGGTATTGGACATCCAAATCGCGGGACATCACGTACACGCACTATTGGATTGCGGCGCGATGGGCAATTACGTTTCACCTAGAGTCATCAATCGTTACCGACTCCCATGGAGACACAAGAAAGATCCATATGAACTCACGAATATCGAAGGAGAGGCCTTCAACTATAACAACGGAATCATTGATATGGAGATTGATCACCTCGACATCAATATCCAGGGCCACGACGAACGAGTCGACTTCGACATCATGGACATTGGAGAACACGACCTTGTGTTAGGGCTTCCATGGTTACAGGAGAGCAACCCACTGATCAACTGGAAAACTGGCCAGCTGCGTTGGAACGACGACGCAAGTTTCAAGACCAGCAGATTTGGGAGAAAGCAAAATTTTGCGATGATTTAGCCACTGAACAGGACGAAAGGGATGACCGTTCAAGCAAATCATTACGGGCTTCAGCGATACAAACGAAAACAGCAACCGAACCGGCGGACACAACAAAATCGACTGACAAGACCCACGTACTGACCAACACGGCTGTACAACCTGGCATCCGACATAAACAGAACAAAGGACACAACAAGAAGATCCGAAGAGTTATTGCCACTCTAAGGAAAGACCTCGAACAAATCAACAAAGAGCTCGAGTCAGGGAAACCAGCTCTCAAAAGAAAGAACAAAGCCCACAAGACAGAATGAAGAACATCCCACAGGAATACCGGAAATACGACAAACTCTTCAAGGAAGAACTCGAGACAGGGTTACCCGAACACAGTCAATGGGACCACGAAATTTGTCTCAAAGATGGAAGAACGCCGACGTTCCATAAGATTTACAACCTAAACGAAAAGCAACTGCAAACGCTACGCGACTACCTCGACGAGAATCTACGAAAGGGATACATACGAACATCAACATCCGAAGCAGGCTACCCAGTCATGTTTGTTCCAAAGAAAAACGGCAAGCTACGACTAGTTGTCGACTACAGACGCCTAAACGATATTACAATGAAGGACCGAACACCATTACCGCTTATATCGGAACTACGAGATCGACTGCACGGCAAAAAATGGTTTACAGCCCTCGATCTCAAAGGCGCCTACAACTTAATACGCATGAAGAAGGGACACGAATGGATGACAGCTTTCAGAACGAAATTCGGACTATTCGAATATCTGGTAATGCCATTTGGACTCACAAATGCACCAGCTACCTTCCAACGGATGATCAACAATGTCCTACGCGAACACTTGGACATCTTTGTGGTAGTATACCTGGATGATATCCTAATCTTCTCGGACACCCTAGAAGAACACAAGGAACACGTCCACAAGGTACTCCGCGCACTTCAGAATGCGAAGTTACTGGTTGAACCAGAAAAAAGCAAGTTCCACACACAGGAAGTAGATTTCCTCGGACACACGATCTCACCAGGAGAGATACGAATGCAACAAGACAAGATCAACTCAGTCAAAGAATGGCCAACGCCAAAGAACGTCAAGGACGTACAAAGTTTCTAGGATTTGCGAATTACTACCGACGATTCATCAAAGATTTCGGAAAGATTGCAACACCACTACACGACTTAACGAAGAAGGAAAAAGAGTTTACATGGGACGACAAAGCCAACGAAGCTTTCGAATGCATCAAAACGACGATTACGCAAGAACCGGTCTTAACCACCTTCGATCCAGAACGACAAATCGAACTCGAAACCGATGCATCAGACTTTGCTCTAGGAGCACAAATCGGACAGAAGGACGATGAAGGAAGACTACGACCAATTGCATTCTACTCGAAAAAGCTACATGGCGCAGAACTCAATTACCCCATCTACGACAAAGAATTCCTCGCAATCATTCAAGCTTTTAAGGAATTTCGACACTACCTTCTCGGAAGCAAACACAAAATCAAGGTCTACACAGATCACAAAACATCTCACATTTCGCGACGACGCAACAATTGAACGGACGACAGATCCGATGGGCCGAATGTCTATCAGAATTCGACTACGAAATAATCCACAGAAAAGGAACAGAAAACGGTCGAGCTGATGCCCTCAGCCGACGATCCGACTACGACACAGGAGCACCTATTGTGAAAGGACAACTCCTTGAGCTCAACAATGAAGGAATATGCAACAACGACAGCTTAACGCAATCTTCAAGGTCAATCCAGACGAAGGCCTTACGAAGAAGATCCAACAAGCCTACGATAAGGTTGATTGGGAACCACTTCCAGTTGTTTGGGAAGATGGCCTGGCAAAGCATCAAGGAAAGATCTTTGTACCAGAAGAACTTCAGGACGAAGTTATACGCGAAATTCACGAACACCCGACACACGGACACCAAGGAATCCGGAGGACGATGGAAAGAATTCGACGAATCTACGACTTTCCACGGATGAAGAAACGAATCAGCGAAACTATCAGAAAATGCGAACTTTGCGCACGAAGCAAAGCTGAACGACACAAGCCATACGGAGAATTGCAACCGTTACCAGTACCAAAGAAACCATGGGACTCGATAGCTTTCGACCATATCACAAAGCTACCACCGTCAAAAGAACCCATGACCAACGTCAAGTACGACAGCATATTCGTCATTACCGACAGATTGACGAAGTACGGATACTTCTTACCGTACAAAGAAGCAAGCAACGCAGAAGAGCTAGCATATGTGTTCCTACGAACTATTGTCAGCAATCACGGACTACCGAACGAGATTGTCTCTGACAGAGGAAGCACATTTGGCCAAGTTTTGGCAAGCTCTCATGGCACAATTAGGAACGAAACATAAGCTCAGCACAGCTTATCACCCACAAACAGATGGACAAACAGAACGACTCAACCAAACGCTTGAACAATATTTACGATGCTACATCAGCTACGAACAAAACGATTGGGTTAAATGGCTACCGACGGCACAACTAGCTTACAACAGCTCAGTCACAGAGACAACCAAGCTCTCACCAGCATACGCCAATTACGGATACAACCCAGAAGCATTCAAGGTCACTCGACAAGGACCACAAGCGGAACGAGCGATACTGCAAGCAGATCAGCTACGAAAATTGCATGAAGAAATGCAACAAGAACTTCAATTCGTCAGAGAACGAATGTCCACTCACTACAATCGGAAAAGATTGCAGGGACCAATCTTTCGAGAGGGAGACATGGTCTACCTCGTACGACGAAACATCAAAACAAAACGACCAAGCAACAAATTGGATTTCAAGAAACTTGGACCGTTCAAGGTCAAGAAAACCATTTCAAAAGTCAACTACGAACTTTCGCTACCAACAACAATGCGGATACACCCGATATTTCATATCTCATTATTGGAACCAGCACCACGAGACGCCAAACCACAGGACAAAATCGAAGTCGACGATGATCAAGAATACGAAGCCGAACAAATACTGGATACAAGAAGACAAGGTCAGCAACAAGAATACCTTGTTAAATGGAAAGAATACGGACCAGAGGAAAATACCTGGGAACCACTCAAGCACCTGACGCACTGCGGCTCCTACTTCGGCAGTTCCACCAACGAACCCAAGGTCAGCCAGAAAAGACGGAGAGAGCGCCTCGGGGTGGACAGCGTCCCAGTCTCCGACAAACTCCGAAGGCAACCGATCAGAATGAGGGGAACACGGCTGCACCTCACTAACTCGACGCTGCTCCCTCTCCGCTTCCTCGCGCTCGACGCGCTCCAACTCCTCGACACTATCAAGACCACGAGAAACCGCCTGCATCATTCTCTCGAACCACATCTTCTTTTGCTTCCGCAACCGCTCCACTTTGGCATCCAACTTGCGACGCTCCTCCGCAGCCTCGAGCTCAGACTCTATTTTTTGGTGC